AACTGGAAGAGAGCAAGGAAGACTTGTGGGTGCGGGAACGAGGAGGAGGAGGAGCAGCAGCGATCAACTGAATCACCTCGTGAAGTTGAAGGAGTAGGTTGAGAACAACTTAGAGATGCTCAACTTGCTGTCATAACATCAAGAACTCTAGCTTCCATCCTCATCCTCCTCCTCCTCCTCCTCCTCCTCCTCCTCCTATGCCTCCTTCTCGTCTCCTTCCCTTCCCTCTGCCCCTCCCTGCTCCTCCTCTCCATCCGGCTTCTCTCACCTCGGCATATAGGAAGCGACCTTCTTTCGCATCTCCCCGGCAGCCATCTTGGCCTTGACAAGCGACGCCTTGACTTGGCTGTAGTCTCGTAAGCCTCCTCTCCCCTCCCATACGCTCTTTCCCGCTATCTTCATCCCCTCTCCTGTCTTCCTTGTTCCCTTCCCCTCCGCCCCGCCCTATCCTCCCTCCATCCTTCACCTTGCCGTGGAATTGGCCAAAGCGACCGTCGAGTTTGCGATGAATTTGATGTCCCTGGTCACGTTCTTGGCGATTAACTTGGACTTGTCGATAACCTTAATCACCAGCGTCAGCCACGACTTCACGAGCGCCTCCCCACCCTCCTCCTCCTCCTCTCCTACAACAACCATTACCACTACCTTCCACCTCCACTGTATCCAGCATCTCCACTCCCCCCCTCCCCCCTCCCCCCTCATCATCATCATCATCATATCCCTACTGCACCACCAGCACCTCCATCGCGACTCGGCGCTGTCCTACCTTCTGACTGATGCTTTTCGACGATTTCAGCGCGGTGGTGGTCGTGTTCTGAATGGTCTGGAGATTCGTCAGAGGTAGGAGGGAGGGGGGGGATGGACGAAGAGACCAGGAGAGTTGCGACCGACACATTCTCCAGCTCCTTCCTGCGGCGCTCGATGAACCTCGTCACGTTGTGCTCCCACTCTGTCACCACCCATGAGGAACTTCGAACTTTCCAGCACCGACACCAACAACAACCCCCCCCAACACCTCCTACCTTCGACTGGCAGCTCAACTTCCCCCCAAATTTCAGGATACTTGGAGTCCAAGACTGACTGTGCAAGCAGGTATCAGCAAATATCTCGATCCTTTGCTCCCAAGGCTCCTCTCCCACCACCTGCTCTCCCCTCACTTCTCATCCTCCGCTCTCTTGCATGATCCACTTCTTCACTCCTCCTATCATCCACCTCCCCAGAAAGTGCACAACCTGAGTGAAGTCGACAGGGCGGGTCGCATACAACCATGAGGTCAACATTCCGAAGACTGCAGCAGTTGTCAGCAGCAGATGTGAGACGCCAGAAGTTGTTGATGCCTGGCAAGACTTTCAGGCTGTCGAATCCAGCTCCGCCACGATATTGCTTGAGAGAGACGATCTTGACGTATCTGGTGCCCTGGAGATCAGCAAACACTCTCCAACAAAGCTTTCTCCTCCTTCCATCCCCATCCCCATCCCTTCACAATCACCCTCCTCTCCCTTCCTCGATCTCTGCATCTCACCTGCACAACTGACTCTTGAACGAGACCAGCTGAGACGAGCAGAAGGGAAGCCCCGGCTTCAACCATCCCTGACATCCATCCACATGTCAACCATCATCCCGGGTACCCCGTCACCGCCTCCTCCCCACACCTTGTGTGCGACCCTCCACTTCTTCCCGTCGTTGCTGACGAGGACCTGGAAGTCTCTCGTGCCAGCCTTGACCTGCTGCTTGTCCTTGTACGACGATGCCTTGTTGGAGATGAGCAGCCCTCCGATCCTTCGCTCCTCCCCTGCTACAGCCGTGAATAGGAGGAACGAGATGGTGGAGGCTGAAGACCGAGGTCAAGGACGACGCGTTTGCTAGACAGCCTCCCAGACTTGATCGTGTGGGGGATGGAGTAAACCTGCGATCCCCTCTTGATCTCCTCAACGTGCCGGGCGGTCGCCGACTTGCACTGCTGGAGACTGGCTGAGATCAACTTTGACACGTTCTTTGACAGCTGGACGCCGGTGCTCGTCAGATTTTTGGACTCCCGCAGGATCGTCTGGGCTGCAAGCAATGATTGTCATCCAACGTTTTCATCACAGACGGCAAGGAAGCAACACCTGCTTCTCCCCCGGTCTCGCTCGCAGCAGCCCACAGAGCTTGCAAGAGATCCAACGTCTCCTGGGCCCCGACTTTCACCTTGCTCTCATACCACTCCTGCGTTGTGTTCAGAGCTGCTTCAGTCCGATTGCCCATGACAGCCGCTGCGTCCGAGAGGAGTTTGCAGACAGTCGTGGTGCATTCTTGGATCATCCGAGACGTTTGATTGAGAGCATCCTGCAAGCTAAACGCCTGGGCCTTTACCGCCTCCTCCTCCTTCTTGTGCGGACAAAGAGCGTGGAGGAGGGCAGTAGCAACAACTAGAGAGAGGGAGGCAGCTGCTGCCTCCTTGGGATGCTGCTTGTACAACTCTGCTGCGCGGTCGATCGATAACTGCGTCTTCTCAACAGCAAAGGACCCAAACGCGTCTGCGGTTTCCTTGACCTTTCTGCTCATGTCCACCACTCCCTGCTTGGCGTTGTACAGAGCAGTGGAAATCAGCTCGAGGTTCGATCCCAGGGGGCCGGATTCTTGCAGCACGTGCGCTTTGTTGCCCCGCCGAGCATCAGCAAGGTACATCGGCAGATTCTGCCGAGAGTGCTGAGGCAGTCTCGAGTTCGAGAGAGCAACATGTAAGGAGGCGCTGCCGTGGATCTCGGCAACGGTGGCAGAGATAAGTTGCAGGAGAAGGAAGGATCGAAGGGGGGGCATCTGATACGACATGTAGTGACACTGCTGCTGTTAGGGAGGATAAGAGGATCAAGGGGAAACGACTCGGGGCTTGGGTCTGGTGCTTCTGACCAGTCTACGCACAGCGGAAGAACATCATCTGCTAGAAACATGCAAGTCAAAGAGAGTTTCCTCAAGGAGGAGATGTGCGTGTGAAGACATTATGGTGATGTCTTGCTTTCGTTGACCTGCCCTACACCCATGCATCCTTGTCTCACGATCGACAACCACGATACAGTTGATGTGCATGCACAGCATCATCCACTTCGATGTATGCATCTTCATCCCAGTATCTGCCATTGCGACTGCATAGGAAAACCTCTCTCGCTCCCCTCCTCCATCCCCGCTCCGGGCAATCCCAAAATCGTCCCAACATCAGAGTTTGTGCTGACTCAAACCAATAAATGTCTTCACATGTATGACATCCTTCCTCTCCCTTAATGGAATTCTGCACTATTACGTAACTCAGATGATACATGGATGGTATGGAAGGGAGACCGTTCCCTGTTCCCTCAGCTACTCTCTACTGCCAACCAAGGAAATCATTAGGAGGAATCCTCTTTTCTTCCCTCCCTCGTTCCTGCTCTACTCCACGAGCTCTCTTCTGACTATCTCCTTCTTGCTACAACATGTTGACACCATGAAGGTCTTGTTCTAAGATCTCCTCTCTCCTTTTCTCTCTTCGTACTGCCTTCCCGCCATGGTTCGCAATGTGACGGCGCCGAGGAGTGTGGGGACACAAGGGACAAGGGGGTAGGGGTACACACATGTGCAGTGGGGGTAGTGAAGATAGGGGTAGATGGTGATTTTCTTCCGAAAGATTGGACCTAGGAGGTAGGGTAGGGTACCCAAAAGTTGGGGTACAGGATGAACAAGGGTGGGTAGACCTCAATAAAATAGGGCAGATCAAGAGAGTAGCCGGTAGGGTTCACCGGGATCCGGCCAAATCAAAGGGGTGGTATTCACAAAAGTACCGGTACTGTAATTGAGAAAAAATATTGACAGGTTGGGGTGGGTACTTTTCGGGGTAGGGGGGTGGAGTAGTAGTTATTCGGATGAAGGGTGTAGCGCTGGAAAGAAGGGGTACAGAAGGCGGGTAAAATTTTCATTGGTAGGGTATGTTGACTAGGGGTATATTTATCTTTTGAAAATGGGGTAGTGAAGACCATCAAAGGTTCTCAATAGGGTGGGGTATATGTTTTGAAAATTTGAATTGAGATTTCCGACATAAAAAAACAGGGGGTACTTCAAGATGACAAGGGGGAGGGGTATATTTGAGGGTAAAAGTAGGGGTAGATGCGACACAGGGGGGTTCTATAGTGGTGCCAGGGTAGCACAAGCAGTAAAGCACCTCAGAACCGGTAGTATAACAGAACAATGGAGGGGTAATACCTGAAGCCTGCCACCCTAGCAAGGGTAGGGTTACCCTTCAAGTATACCAGGGTGGGGGTAGTTTTATATGCCGAAAGGGGGTACCTTTATCACCCTGTTCATCACCAGCGAGATCTAGTTTGGGACTGAGGGAGGATGAGGGTAAAATGATGACCCTACCCCCACGGCGACCATTTTTAGACCTCCGATCCTCCCAGATCAGCATCCACCTACCTTGGAGGTCTGGCTCGAGTCATCACTACCACTACCCCTTTTTGTCCATCAAATACCCACCCTTTTCTAATATCGGTGCACTGGCTGTAGTACCCCCACCCCTGGACATTGCACCCTCCCCCCGATACGTCACATTCGGCAGTGCGAAAACCATGACATCACCGGTGGTCCGGATTTTCCCATAGTACCCCTCAATTATCCACGAAGAAAGGCAATATAGGGGGTATAATAGGACCCCCACCCCCCAACGTGATCCCCTTGATGCTCCACCCCACCACTTATAAGCACTTTCTCCTTGAACCCCCTGCACCGCCATGGCTGCCCTCCTCCTCCTCCTCCTTCAGGCCACTGCCACCTCAGCCTTTCTCCTCTCATCTCCCTCCTCTGTCTTGACATCATCCTCTCCTGCCTCGTCCCTTTCCCTTGCGTCGCAGAGATCTTCCTCTCCTCTCCATGCCCGCCCGACTCCGTGTCTCGGCGCTCCATCGTTCCATGCGCAGCAGAAGGGCTTGATTTCTCTGCGCATGTCCGAGGATAACGAAGAGGAGATGGCAAAGAAGTACTATGAGCAGAACTCAGGCCTCGGATACAGGAAGAACGATCAGGATGTCTTGCTTTTTGCCACAGGTGAGTCAAACCTAAACCCCCTGGACTTACTTGCGACCATTTTCGTTTCCCTCTGGTCGAGGCGTGTTGAAAGCACCTCGGACTCCACAGTCGTCTGTTCCTAGTTGTTTACTTGTCCTTCTCCTACATGTTGGCTCCCGCGATCTTTCCTTGAGCCTTCTCTCCCTTCCTGCCGTTACATCCGGTGACGCATGTGACAGGTGCCCTCATCCTCTTCATCCCCCTCATCTTCGTCGGGATCGCCATTGCGACAGGATACGTTCCTCTGGATTACTTGAGATAAGCGTGCCTTGATGTCAAACTCCTCCTCCTCCTCCTCCTGCATCGATCTTGTTAAGTCGAATGTGCGAATCATAAGGAGGGGAGGGGAGGATAGTCCTTACCTCCCATCAGCCCTGCTCCTACCCGCAAGGACAAGGACAAGGACAAGGACAAGGACGAGGACAAGGACAAGGACAAGGATGGAGGCATGTTAATCAAGAACCCACCAACTTGTTCGTAACAAGCGATACGAAAGGGGGGGGGGGGGAGGGGGGGGGGTCGGGATCGCACCTTCTCATCTATCATCTGCTGTGACAGGCTGAGAGAGTCTTGATCGGGAGCTCCCCTTCCTCTCCCCATCGCTCCCATCCGCAGGCTGCAGACACACTCTCGTTGCTGATCGTCTCTGACCCACACGCTGAGGCCCTTGCGGGAAACCAGACCTGAGGAGGAAAAGCAATCAGGAATGGAAAACATCAAATGAGTTGGAACCCACAAGTTTGAGGGGTGAAGCTCATGACAACTCCCATCATCATCCACACTGATGCAACCGGGATAAGAATGCTCTTGGGAGACATGATGGCTGTCATCCCTCCCCGAACTCCTGCTGAAATGCTATCAGCTCAGAAAATCAACTTTTGAGTCGTTATCGAGGAAACGGGGGAGGGGGGAGGGTAGTAGATATGATATCTTGCTGCTTTGTGAGCTTCTCAGACTCTCTTAGTCTCTCAATCCATCTATTATCTCTTTCATCTATGCAGCCATCTCCCCGCTCAAGACCATCCTCGCGTTCCCATCATTCTGTATCTTCAAACATTTTTTCACGACTGCAACAGTATAACTACGTTCGCTTGGCATGACAAAAGCAACTGACGACCATCCATGTCACATCTGCGCATCCGCTTCTTCCTTGTATGCACATCCTCTCCTCCCCTCCCTACTCCCCTCCCG